GCTTAGTGCTCTGATCTTCACAGTTCACTGTCGTAAACAGACCATTTCCATGGTTGAATTCAACATAATGACAGCCTGTCCATCATGCTGCACACATTCAGTGGTCCTGCCTGCTCAGGGCTGCATGACACGAACAAAACACTGTACTGCGATTCTATTTGTTTATATATAATGATTGCAAAATGTTTTATGATGCGTTAAAAACTACTGGGAATCCTTGATCTGCTGGATTGGCCTGCCAGTGACATTTGTTAGATGGTGTCAGTGCCTTCATTTGTTAAAAGAAAACTCATTGAGGAGTGTCTGTGATGGGTCAGCATACTAACAGCAAACAAAAAACAATTTTGTGATTGGTTATTTGCATATCATTAGCATATTGCAACCTTCGCCAGTGTCAGTATTGCAAAGGCCATTGTTGTGATAATGACTGATCCTTAGGAGTTGCAGTTATTGCTAGTAATTCATGATTAATTATTTATTATTTAGCAAAGTGGGTTCTAAACTTTCAATCAAATGTGTAATTAGAACAGAGGACTGAACGGAATTTGATGTAGTTATTGGTGTGTACACCGCGACCCAGAAGGATAAGTGGTTTAGATGATGGATGGATGGATGGATATTGGTGTGTAGGCCTTGGCGATATGATTAGGTATCATTGATGAATCGCAAGTGACTTGATGACCATACTTAAAAGCTGATGATCGCCGTTTTGGAAAAAAAGAACTTACGGAGAACTCATTTACAGAAAAACAGTTTGCTAAATAATATTAAATAATATCTACACATACTGTTTTATTTATTCTTACTGTTAAAACATTGCATTGTTATGAAGCCTTAAAAGCCTTTAGGCAGCTGTAGAGTAAATTCCCCTCTGTCTCTGCTGCACATTTCCCAGTGTGATTTACCATCTGAGAAAATCGGCAGCGCTTTCTGTACAGCTTAAGTGTCTTTGTAGTTTGAAGGAATTCTGAAAATTCTGAAAATATAATACTACATAGTTTTCCAAAGGCATATATAGCTGAATTCTAGAGTGACTCCACTATAACCATAGAGAACATCTTTCCTTTTCATTTAAACCACGTCGGCATTGGTTTTGGAGATCACTCATTTAGTGTGTATTACGGTCTGAAGTTTCTCTAGGAAGAGGTGCGATTAGTAAGCAAGTGAACCTACACCAGAAGGAGCTCAATAGGAGCATGTTTGCTAACTATTAAAGTGGTTTTCAGAAGAGTTACTCAGTATTTAATGTGTGATTTTTTTTGTTAAAGATTGTCATTAGAACAGTTAATGTTTTAAAAAAAACATATAGAGTAATGCTAGAATAGAAAGTAGCCTAAGCTGCAGTGGATGCTGTGTATTCGTTTGAGGGGGTGGTATAATTGATATTAAAGATTTTTTAATTGGAACATCATCATCATCATCGTTAACCGCTTAGTCCAGATAGGGTCGCGGTAGCAGTTGGGAGAGCAGAGAATCCCAGATGACCCTGTCCTCCGCAACTTCCTCCAGCTTATTCCCGGGGACCCCAAGCCGCTCCCAGGCCAACTTGGAGATATAATCCCTCCAGCGGGTCCTAGGACAACCCCGGGGTCTTATTCCGGTAGGCCGTGCCTGGTACACCCCCACTGGGAGGCGTCCAGGGGGCATCCGGATCAGATGCCTGAACCACCTCAGCTGGCTCCTCTCCATGCGGAGGAGTAGCGGCTCTACTCCGAGCTCCTCCCGGAAGGCTGAACTCCTCACCCTATCAAGTAGAGTGTAGCCCACCACCCTGAGAAGAAAGCTCATTTCCGCCGCTTGTATTCACGATCTCATTCTTTCGGTCATTACCCACAGCTCATGACCATAGGTGAGGGTCGGGATATAGACCGATCGGTAAACAGAGAGCTTCGCCTTATGGCTCAGCTCCCTCTTCACCACTACAGTCCGGTACAGCGACCGCATTACTGCTGCCGCCTGTCCCAGCCTGCGGTCGATCTCACGATCCCTCTTCCCATCACTCGTGAACAAGACCCCGAGATACTTAAACTCCTCCACCTGGGGCAGGTCCTTTCCCCCTACCTGGAGTGGGCATGCCATACTTTTCCGGGCTAAGACCATTGGAACATATTGTGCTAATTGTTTTAAGATATGGCTGAGGTCTACTGATGTACTACAGTGTTGATTTGTTGTAAAAAAAATAAAAACATATATTTTTGCCATTTCTTGATGGAAGCAGTCAGACATGCAGACATTTACTGTGTGATGAAATATATAATTCTGTAAAATGAAAGTATTAATTTTAGACTTCTGAGGGCTAACAAGCTATACATTGTGCAGTTCTGGTCCTGCTTCCTGCAGTTTCTGGTACTCGGCAAGGCCTGAAGTGTTATCGCCCAGGGAGAGGCGAGCTTGCGTTTGTTCTAAGCCCGGAGCTGCTCTGCTTTAAAACAGGCTGAGTTATGGTGTTATTTCCCTGTAATGGAGGAAGGAACAGCAGTAATGGTGTGTAATTTAAGGCTGCTGAACGCAGCTCCAGACTGCCCTGGGAAATCAGGCTGTTAACGGCTGGCCGTGGGAGGCACAGCCATTCTCTCACTTTACCATCGCTGAGTGGATGCAGGTGAATTTTCTCTCCTTTTCGGTTTCTACGGTTCCTAGTCTCTGCCTACCTGTCTGTGTGGGTGCGATTTGGAGACAATTCACACCGTTTGGCAGGCGAAAAAAAAAAATCGCGCTGCTGTAATCCCTGCCCAGAATCCCAGAATAGATGCTCAAACATGGCGCCCTTCCATGTACCTTTCCTCTTTCCAGTATCTGAATTATAAAGGGTCATGTACAGGCCATGCTGCGTTTCTGCATCGATTCTGGGACAAATTAACAGAACTGTGAGCTAGAAAAGCTGTGAGCTCTGCTGGAGGTTCAGGAAATGTTCCACTAAAGACCGCATAAGACTATATACCTTATTGATATAACGAATTTAGAAATTATAGGATATAGAGGTGGGCAAGATGACGAGACTTTTTAATTATCGTGATGAATTGTGTTATCATGATAAACAATGTGCTTTCCTGAGCATATTGTAGCTATCTTCTTTACTTAAAGAATACCGACTGCCTGCATATTTTATTAGATTTTATTAAGAGAGGGAAAATATGATCCTGTTTAACTGGATTTAGTGTATGACAGAATGTGGAAAGTTTAATATAAATATAGTTTTTATAGCAGTTTTTAAATGTGGCATTGCACATGCATTGTATCTGTTAGTCAAAATATTATGATACATAAATATTGTGAAAATGTCTAAGTATCATGATATGATATTTTTGCTCACGCCTAATAGGATATGATTGACTTTATCCAAAATTCAAGCATGGTAATATTGATGTAACCTATGTTTTGATTACACTTCACATTGTGTGTACATTTCATGATGAATGAATTAATAGAAATAGTCCAAAATTATTTGGAATTATATTACATTGCATTCATATGTTCAAAATCATGTGCCATGTTAGTAATTGCTGTTATTCTTTTCAATAATAACTTACTTAAAATTTTACATAAAAATTTTTAAATACATATTGGTGTTCTGCTTATAGTGTTTCAGTGTATCGCTGCTGTCGGAAGAAAACCTTGTATCTCCATTTTTGTTGTTTTTCAGTTTTTGACATAATTTGAAAAAACCTGTTGTCCTTTACATTGTGTGTAAATTTTACAGTGAATGGACTAAAAGAAATGACCCGAAATAACTTGGTGAGAATTCTGGTTCCATTGACTTACATTAAAAGTAAAGCATGTTTTTTGCTTCTCCTGTAAAGTTATCATTTTGGAGATAAGAGGTTTTGTTCCGACAGCAGCGATATATTGAAATACTATAAGCTGAACACTAATATGTATTTTAAGATTTTTATTTAAAATGTGTTTTTTTATTAAATGTCTCAAAATCTAAGACTTTACAAATAATTTTAATGTTAAGTGAAAGAAACTGATTAAAAGCAGCATTTGTTCATTTCACTCTGTTGCGCCAGTCAGTGCAACTGACCGACTGTTTTCTGTTGTCGAGGACATTTATTCTTTGTCACATACAGTAACCTACATACTGTAATCATTCCAGTAAGATTATTTTATTATTTATTTTATTTTGACTGTTTTGATTGAACTGATACGTCGTCAGCTTTTTCATTTTTTGACCCAGTGCGTCCTGAATTTCGGTTTCGGCCTGGAAGTTTCATTCCGATGCGTCACTTATGAAAGCGGTGATTCCTTTAGAGTGGTAATGTACATTATAGGTTAAGAATGTTTTTTCTTTCTCCTGAAAAGCTGCCATTTTTGAGATATGAAGTTTAGTTCCAACGGCAGTTATAAATACTTTGTATGAACAGCGCAAGTCCTAAAGCATATTAACACAGCAAACACCCAGAGGAATAAAAATCACTTTGGACCAGTGGTCTGTATTTTTACAGTGAGTACAACCTCAAGCCATCCACATGTTTTTTTTATCATTAGGGATTTTAAGCATTAACTGATATCATGTTTCATAGCCTATAATCTCTGTGAAGTCACAGTTTTGTTGCTTTTACTGGCCTTCTGTGAGGCTGCTGTAACTAACTAGGCTAAAAAAATGCCTGTGTACTTGCGGACCACCACTTTAGAGACTGTATTCCGTTTAATGATGATCAAATCTAGTGCACCACAGCCAGATCGGCTTGTTTACACCAGCTAGTTGAAAAGAATGAATCATACAGAGGAAGAGAACTGAAGAAGTCGAGTTGAGTTTAAAGCTCAGTCATCTCAGTTGCACGAGGGTTTTGGGGGGCTGTCATTAGGGGGCTGATTCAGAAGTGGAAGCGAAAGATGTTGGTTGGATTAATTGGTGGACAGCAGAGGGACAAATTAGACTCTGGCCGTCCTGATGTAGGCCAGGGATCATGGTGTTGCGATGGAACCCAAACAGAGCCTAGTGGTCCGCTTGACCTATTTTTCCCACACATACTTAGTGGCTGGGTGTTAGAAGTCACGCTCAGTTTTGAAGAATCTGGCAAAGCTTATTCCAGTCTGTCCACCCCCTGCTATGCTAGGCAACACTCCACGCGTCAAGAACCACTTAATGTCTGCATGGTGTAAACTCATGTTTATTTCAGCATCTTCAAGGGTCTTTTTCCAAGTCAGCATCTTTGCTTGTGGTTGAAATTCATGAGGCACCTGTCAGCTGTCCAGAGAATGTTACAGAAAAAAACCATTCTGTCTAATTTATGGTGATGTTCTGGGTCTGCTTCCTCATTTTGAACCTGGGGAGAAGAGAACAACCGATATTAAATGTCAAACAGTGAGAGCAACGAGTAACTAAAGAGAAGGAGAGTGTTTAGTTGAACAGTGCTGACTTACATGATCGTCAGTTATCAGTTGTCATATTGTCTTATAAACAAATCCAATCCCAAAGAAGTTGGGACAGTTTGTGAAATGCTAATAAAAACAGAAAGCAGCGATTAGCAAATTCTGTTTGAACTGTATTGAATCAAAAAAGTGCAAAAACATGGTATTTGATGTTTTAGCCTGTGCACTTGGGTCTTTCTCCATTTGGAAGGGAAACCATGTCGTAAGGCAAATTACAAAACTAAAATTTACAGATTTACCCCTGTTTTCCCGTATTAATACTGCATATTTAAAACTCAGAAGACACATGTAGGTTCTGGATAGTATTTACACCAATCAGGCATAACATTATGACCACCTCCTTGTTTCTACACTCATTGTCCATTTTATCGCTCCACTTACTATATAGGTGCACTTTGTAGTTCTACAGTTACAGACTGTAGTCCATCTGTTTCTCTGCATACTTTGTTAGCCCCCTTTTACCCTGTTCTTCAGCGGTCAGGACCCCCATGGACCCTCACAGAGCAGGTACTATTTGGGTGGTGGATCATTCTCAGCACTGCAGGAACACTGACATGGTGGTGGTGTGTTAGTGTGTGTTGCGCTGGTCTGACTGGATCAGACACAGCAGTGCTGCTGGAGTTTTTAAACACCTCAGTGTCACTGCTGGACTGAGAATAGTCCACCAACCAAAAATATCCAGCCAACAGCGTCCTGTGACCACTGATGAAGGACTAGAGGATGACCAACACAAACAGTGCAGCAGCAGATGAGCTATCGTCTCTGACTTTACATCTACAACGTGGACTGACAAGGTAGGAGTGTCTAATAGAGTGGACAGTGAGTGGACAGTGTTTAAAAACTCCAGCAGCACTGCTGTGTCTGATCCACTCGTACCAGCACAACACACTAACACACCACCACCACGTCAGTGTTACTGCAGTGCTGAGAAGGATCCACCACCCAAACAGCACCTGCTCTGTGAGGGTCCATGGGGGTCCTGCCCACTGAAGAACAGGGTAAAAGGGGGCTAACAAAGTGTGCAGAGAAACAGATGGACTACAGTCTGTAACTGTAGAACTACAAAGTGCACCTGTATAGTAAGTGGAGCTGATAAAATGGACAATGAGCGTAGAAACAAGGACATAATGTTATGCCTGATCGGTGTAAATTGACTATTCTATAGATATCGTGACCCCTGGTTCCACCACTGCGAAGAAACCTGAGTCAGTAATTTTCTCTGCAGTGACTCGTTTCACGTCAAACCACTCTGAATGACTTTATATGTCAGTGATTGAAATACCCAGAAATGATGAAAAATAATTGGAATTCCTCTTTAAATTCTCAGAAGTGTAGCGTTTCCTTCACATCAGAGGTGTTGCTTGTTACTAAAACAAGCCACTGAACATCAGTGCTATATCAGCTGGCTGTTTGCCAGGCCGTACTGGAGACCTGAGCTCAATCGAAGGTTTTAGTTTGCATGCAGTGTTATCGTTCTCATCATCTTCCTCTTCCCTGAGCTGATGCTTTAGAATAGGTGCAGAGTGCCAAGTTTTAAAAAGATTCCCCCTCCGGTGACATGAATGGCAGCTATTGTTGGATTGCCATGGCAACTTGTCTTTTCATACTCATTGTTAGAGGTTTGTTGCATTATTTATTTACTTATTTTTCATGAGCTTCATGCTCGCTGATGCACGCCGCCGCTCTGTCAGCTGTGATAAGTGCCACGGCATGCGCCGGTGCAAATGGCACTGACTGTTTTTACTCGAGCTCCGTTTCGACAAGGAGCCCTGATGTCATATTTTTCTCTCTTCTGCTTGAACAGAACTGTTGACTCCCAGTCACGATACTTTCAAACTGCACCGGCCCGTCAGAGACATGCAGGAGGCAGGACGGGTCTCGGAGTGCCGCCACTGTAATTTGTTTCTTTTTTAGCTAAATAGTCATTCAGGTTCAAAGCCTGATGTCACTCTGAAATGCAGGCGTTGTGGAGGTGACTCATTACGGTACTTTGTACAGTTAGTTAAAAGAAAGTCGAGAGGAAATTTGGTGTAATTTGTGAAGTCAAGCCACAAAATAGAGGGGCTCCTGCTTTGCTTTAAGGAGTTTTATAGCTGCTGCATCTGAGTTCTACTGTCACTTATTTAGCAACTGCCCACTATAAATCTTCTATTCTGTGCTCAGTCTGTTTTGAGGCAATGAGTTTTCAGTTGTTATACTGTTATTATGAGATTAACTCTCTCAGATTGGGATATAATGACCAGCTTTTCATACTCAATAAAGTGGCAATACTGAACATTGATACTGTAGTTTACTTTGCTTTTCAAGTAAGCCACAAAAATGCTAAAGAAAATCTATTACAGACTTTAAAAATTACTAATTGGGGTATAACCGTTCACAAACTTCATAATTTTGGTACAGTACAGTGTCTCAGCTCAATAAAATGCCTGAAAATGTGCTGTGGTACTGTTGTAATACTATAAGAAACTGTAAGATTTCCATAGTGCTGTATATTACTTTTATAATAATCATATTTTCTTGCATATGTAATATTTACCTGTGTAGTATCCTGTAGTATACAGTTATTTTAGCAATAGAAATTCCTGTAGTAGTACTGTAGATCTTTTTTATATTGATATTTGTTGCCTTTCCATTTTCTGTTTATCTCAGCATTCAGCATTAGAAAAATACAAGATTTGAGGCTTTAGAAGGGCAGTTGTTCTGCCTGATCCATTCAGACTTGAAACTAACCTTCTAGTCCTAAACTAACGCCTTAGCTAACATGCTAAGCGTGGACTAAAGTGCTAGCCCTGAGCTAACACACTAAACACACACACACGAACACTAACACCCCAGTACCTAGGTAACTAATTGCACATTAGCACTGATTTAACCAGATTTCTGAAATGAAAACCAGGGACGTTTCCAGTGCAGCGGTCAGTATATCATGAAAATATCCAGTGTTTTTATCTATGGAATAAAGAAGTTGGGGGCAGTTCCAGTTCCATGTATTTTGACTAGCTAAGTAACTTTGTAACCCGTGTTGGAAAATCATACAGTAGCCTACCATGGTGAGAGAAGCTGTGGTAAACTAACTAAACTTTTTAGAAATGAAGGCCCAATCACATTTCTTCTCTTCACCCCTACCCCTTGTTTTCGAGTGTCATCCTAACCCTTTGGAGTTACAATGGGTTGTGGTTGAAATCTTGCCCTATGAAATGGGACAACCGTCAATTTGAAAAACAAACCAAAAAAAAAACATGAAGAACTTCATTAACTGGATATTAATGCTGCTCTGTAGGCGACCCGGCCCGTCTTTGGTGACAGCAGAGGAGGGTAAAGTTCAGCTCCTCACTGCTGGGCTTTAGTTACATTTAGGGCATCATATTCCTTCAAAGAGGGGGGCAATTATTTATTATCACCCACTGCTAATTCTTTGGTGATATGAAGCTGAAGTCAGATATTCACCAGCTTCTTGTTCAAATGTTCCCGTTCCACCTTAAATGCAGCAGCAGTTACATTCTGGCGCTTCAGGCATCAGAACTGGAACAGGAAAGTGCTAGCTAGTTAGCTACCGAGACATCAGCATAGTATTAGCGATTTTTTATGTTTGTTATGAAGAAAAGGACCATAATACACCAAAACGACATTAAACTAAGATAATACAGTGGTTATTGTCATTTTTAACAGAGAAAATTCTCACATTTGTGGGTTTCTTTGGTCTCTTGTTCAGCCATCTTACTTTTTTTTCTCATAACTCTCTGTTTGGAGTCTCTGAAAAACCATGTACAAGTGACATTGTGGACTCACTCGACGCTTGCTAGCTTCTGGTCGAAGCTAAAACTAGGCGAAGGTGGTAGAAGTGGTTAGTAAATAGCAGCAGCAGCTCCCTCTGTTGGCTAAAACAAGCACAGTGTGAGACCTCTGCCTGTTTGCTCTGCCGCCAGGTGTTTTTTAAGACTTTCCGATGTGTTTTTATTTCACAGTGAAAAATGGGGACATTTCCCGGGACATCTCCAGCCAGGGACAGGCCACCAAAACCAGGGACTGTCCCCGGAAAATGGGGACATCTGGTCACCCTAACAAACACTGTAGCCCTGAGCTAACACACTAACTGCGCACTAACACCTAAGCTCTGAGCTAACTTGCAAACTACAAGATCACACCCCAGCCCCAAGCCGATGCCCAAACCCTGAGCTGACATGCTAAATTTGCTCCAGTCTGTTGAAGCTAGTGATCCATGCCTGCTAAAGAAAACAAAAAACATTAAAACCATTAGGATTGAAACCTGATAGTTTTACTTTCTAATGGGAATTGGAGACTAGATTCTAGTAGGACACCTTTAGATTAGATAAGATAAGAAACCATCAACTGTATCTGGAATCAGTCTGAGAAAACCTGTTAAACCATTAGATCCCTTTACACTGTGATATCAACCTATCAGGAAAACACAGAATACCATTATAAAGTGTATAATAATATAATAATGATATTAATTATATTAATTAATGTAAAAGATTACCACATTATAGTCTGATTATAACTATTACAACTTATCATTCATATCTTTCATATCATTCAACCTTAAGTAGACTAATTATATGACTCTAGAAAAGCTTGAGGGCTCTTTATTAGTCCTCTCTCTGTGTTTCGCTGTGGAATGTCTTTAAGTGTCAGACAGTGCATCTCCTTCTTGGTATGCGAGCAGCACAGAAGGATGCAGCAGCGTGTGTATGGTATGGATTATCTAGCAAATCTTCTTGATGCTTGTGTGAGAAAGATAATAGTGGCTAATCTCTTTCTTTCATTTCAATCTTTCCCCCAGGACCCTGCAGGCATATTCGAGCTGGTGGAGCTTGTGGGAAATGGCACATATGGACAAGTGTACAAGGTAAGTGCTCTTACTAGGTCTAACATAGCCGCCTTTAAGACAGTGATGTTAGTATGATTAGCTTGTTACAGCTGGTTCACAAGAAGTCACACGTTATGGGTCAACCCTGTCTTACCTAATGCATCATCAGAGATCCGTGTTGGGGAATCGGAGCTTTCTGTGTCTTATTGTGTTTTCTATATAAACCTTTACAGAAGAGTCGACGTGTTTTTAAGTAATCACACATTTTTTCACGATAACACGTTTTTAACATGTGTAGTGTGCAAAAAGCACACGTTTTTTCACACGTGACTTTTCTCTAAGGGAAAGAAACACCACGTTGCCTTTATTTTTGGATGTTTCTGCGACGTGAGTGCGACCTCACATTCAGAATAGGATTCAGATCTAATGGAAACGCTGATTATTGATTTGTTTCTATTCATATTTGCTTGCTCTAAATGGTAGTTTGTGGTGCAAATGGAAAAAAAAAGTCAGAATCAGAATCACTTTATTTCTCCAAGCGTGTTATTTGTCTCGGTGAGTGCACACATGTACAATATGTAACATACTGAATAGATCAGACGAGCACACAGACTGTTAAGAAATATTTCTCTAAAGGACCAATAAAATAAAAATACAATAAATAAAATAAGGAATAGTAAAGAGACGGTGTGAAATGAGCTAAAGGGATGTGTGATTATCCGTACATATACAGATAAGGACATACTATGATGACTATTATCTACAGAATATTACAATGATATGAACATTTATAAATATTAACATGTGCAAATAAGCATTATGGTACATATGAATTGTTGGCTTCATTAGATCGTGTTCTTTATATATGAAAGATAACTTATTATTGATTCATTAATTTAGAGCAAAGGCCATTATACGCCGAATGCAGCACAAATAAACTATGCGAAAAATACAATCCATGCAGAAATGCAAGTGACGTGAAAGTGCTGCTGATGCGAAAATGCAGCTGACACAAAAAGTGAATTTTGTTGTGTTGTGTGCACCGCAAACTAAAAGAAGGAATGCTATATGCACTTTGGAAAAGCAAAGGAAGCACAGGGAATTTGAGTCTCTTTCAGGAGATGAAATTTTATATGGTTGTTATGGTGCCAACACTGGAGACAACCGTGATTGGTGGAGTTCATGTTGCCTGTGAAACTTAAAAATCGAAAAAATGTTGCATTTTTCTATGCGAAAAATAGTGTTTGTTGTGCAAGAAAACAGTTATACACTTACTTGACTTACTTGCACCGATCAGGCTTAACATTATGTCCACCTGCTTGTTTCTATGCTCGTTGTCCATTTTATCAGTTCCACTTACTATATAGGTGCACTTTGTGCTGTGTCTGATCCCCTCAGACCAGCACAACACACACTAACCCAGCACCACCATGTCAGTGTCACTGCAGTGCTGAGAATGATCCACCACCCAAATAGCACCTGCTCTGTGAGGGTCCATGGGGTCCTGACCACTGAAGAACAGGGTAAAAGGGGGCTAACAAAGTATGCAGAGAAACAGATGGACTACAGTCTGTAACTGTAGAACTACAAAGTGCACCTATATAGTAAGTGGAGCTGATAAAATGGGCAATAAGAAACGAGGTGTTCATAATGTTATGCCTGATCTGTGTATATATGTGTATAAAGGCATTAACTGAGGTATAAAGTATATTTCTATTCATATGGTGGCTGACTCAATATATAAAAAACTAAAAGCTCTATACTTTTGGCTTTGTTAGATCATGTTCTTTCCGTGTGAAACTAAAAGCGGCGGCTGCATTGAGGAATGCCTTTATTAAAGGAAAAGTAGGCTAAAGGGTAGAAACAGCTGCTTTTTTGCCTCAGAATTAAAGAGGTAGGTGAAGAAATCCAGTGTCCCTGTTAGCTGTTAGCTTCAGACGCTCTGCTGTCAGATCCGTACTTACCTGTCAGAGCGCTGCCTGCGCTTTTGCTTTGAATGCCTGGAATGCCGCAGCGTGTCAGGACCCATGTGTTTTCTTACGCTCCAAGGCAGTTCTAAGAACAATCCTTCACCCACTCCATTATCCTCTCACAGACGGGCAAACCTGTGTCACACCAACAGATGTACCCAGGACATTGCATTTGTTAAGACAGTTTCCTTGAATCTTGCCACAGCATGAGAAAGCATAGTGTTTGTAAGCGGGTATTTGCCTTAAAGGCTGTTGTAACTGTTTTATGGGTTAAAGTGTTAAGGTTTGCGGTTACTGCCGTCGTTACTGAAAGCCTGATGTCATTTGGATTGAATTTTTTTTGCTCGTGGCATATTAAAACAAGAATTTCTGGACTTTCAAATGATGTTATGTTTGGAGGTAAAAGAGGAGATATTTTATTATGATTTGAATTTGCTGAGATCACCATAATCTTGTCATTTTTGCCATGCTTTTGTCACTAGTTGACATTAGCTACGTTTGCGTACAGCCTGATAATCTGTTAATAATCTGACTAATAGCTCAATCGGAATAGAGTACGTCCATGTATACACGTCACTCGGAATGGACTATTCTGATTGAAGCCATTTGGAATGCACTTTCTGTCTGATTGAATCCTGTAAATAATCTGTTAAATAGAAGAATAATATCTGTGTAAACGTCTGTATCTGATTACATTCCCTATCTGAAAGTTTAAGTCCGTTCTGATCATGTTTGTCGCGTCATAGTGAAAGTTTATACCGTTCAACATGGCGGAGCAGAAACTGGTCTGCAGAGGAGACGAAGTTTATGCTCTGATCTTTAAAAGACGGCGGTGGGACGGACGTCCAGCTTATGTGTCTCAGAACACGACGTCTTCCTCTCGGCCTTCTTTAATAAGGACATGTGAAGGACGTTTTCCTGAGTCTGACATCATTTTAAAGTAATTAAAAACACAAGCACTGCTCACTGCTGCTCATCTCACTCTGACTGGACTCACGTGATGCTTGTTGTCATGGTAACGTCTACACTAAGTGGTTCTAAACGGAGATTTTCCATCAGATTGTTGAGTAGAGTGAGCATAAACACCTCAGTCTTCATCTATAATCGGAATGTATTCAATCAGATTGGCGAAAATTTTGGCATGTAAACACAGCCATTAAAACAAACGGAAAATCGTTGAACATGCAGATTTGAAAGAATGTAAACTGAATGCAAATTTAACGAATCACTTAGCTAAATGTGTAATTGCATTAACTGTCGACTGCTAAGGGTTAACAGCAAGTCAGCTTGTCTAAATCCCACCCCAGGAAACTATAAATCAGCAGCCGTTCTGTTTACTTCGTCGTCTTTAATGAAAAGTCAATGGAAAGCACATGTGGTGCGTCATGACCCCTTGTCCCTCGCCCTACAGTCGCTAATAAGATTTTCTCACACTGTCCAGCATTGATTACAGTGCTAAAATTAGTGCCGATTGATTTCTATCAAGCGGCTAAAGCTTAACTACTATAATGTAAACCTTAAAAGTGAGTCATTCAGCCGATCACTGTGGCGGCAGACTGTGTATTTTTTGTAACATCTTTTGCGATTCTGTAGGTGTTTCAACCTCAGCAGCCAAAGTTCAGGCAATAAGATAAATGTGAATAGAGACTGAAAGGAGATGTGATTGCCGTCGAGACTACAGCTTGAACAAAGCAGTCAGTCAAGAGCCCGGTGGTTTTCAGAAGTTATTTCAGATGACATTGACCCATTTCTGTTAACAGTGGCACCCCAGAGAACATCAGCTGTCCCTGAGCACCAGTGGGATTAAGAAACGAAGGCAGCACGAAGGAGGGTTTAATTGGTCTATAAGTGTTAGTGTTTCTCTTTGAGGATCCTCCAGCCCACCTCTTAAGGCAGTGTGTTGAGGAGGAGCTCAGCCTCCCTCCATCTGTCTCCCTGTTATTGCTTTGCGAATCTGTAGCCTCTGGAATATTGGAGCTGAGTCAGAGCTTAGCGTTCATTTTCCTTTTAGAGAGTTCCGACGGATGCCATTTTATGACCTTTTCAGTGCAGTTTAGGGCAGGAGTGCCCAAAATTTTTGTGTAACGTGGGCCGATCTGCATTGCAGTCAGTGGCATTTGTGTGATGTCACAAGTCACAAGTTGTAGACTTTATTCAAGTTTCTTTCATAACATTGCACTGTTCATTTGCAGTCAAAGCTGCAGTTAAGTACAAGTTATTCATTTTTTCAGGAGATATTTTTAAAGAGATTAGATAATCCACTTGAATAGGGAAGGGAAAATAGATGAAACCGAGTTCAAAAAATGATCCAAATCTACAGAGAAAATGAGGCTCCTAACAACCACCTGGAAGACCTGGTAGACACCAAAACTGCTCCCATCAGATAAACAGCACTTAAAGCTTTCATCTCTGAGAGAGAGGAGAAAATCAAGCTGCTTCAGATCTGAAAACATCCACAGGTGTTTCTGTCCATCCTTCCACTGTGAGAAGACGACTCAGCGCTGTGGGTCTGAAAGGATGTGTAGCTGTCGAGAAGAACCTCACTGAGAAAAGGAGACGGACACATCAAACAAAGAAGCTGAACAATGGACTGACCACCCCAGAGTCCAGACCTCAACACCACTGAATGTGTTTGATTACTTAAGAAGATGATCAACCAGAGTCTAAGACTGAACTTGGAAGGTCGCTGCAGATTTCATTGAAAAACTGAAAGCAGGTCACCTGAAAAGAATGATGTAATAAGATCAAGGAGTGGACGCACTGAAAATGTGATCTTATATTTAGTTATTTAGTTAATGTGCTATTATATAGTTGTCTATGTAATTAAGTTAAATATGTTTTCTGCTTTTCTCGTGATGCCAGAAAACGAATAACTTGTGCTTCTTGGCCATTTTGACTGGATTTTCTTTAGTTACATTTTTAGATTTGTTAGCATGAGAAAAATAAGCATTGAAGAAATAGGAAGTGAAAATATATGTTCTCTCGTGGGAGCAAGGGTTGGTGCAGCTTTCTAGTGGGCACAGTCAAACAACCATGCACACCAACTTTAGCCTGTGGGTTTCTCTGAATGAAGGTAATCAGATGCATCTGAAAGTAGAACACGTCCTCCCCCTGATGTGAGCGGTCTTTAACTCTGTCAGACCAGGCGTCCTGCTGGCAGGACATTGGGCCTCATCCACTAACCAATCTTAAAATTTCTTCTTAAAACTCAGTTTTCATGAGGATTTTCCACCAGACTTATTCACTGAAGTTCTCTTATTTGGAATTTGTTCTTACACTGTTAGAAATAAAGGTTCTGTGCAGGTACATTTTTCGCTCATCAAGGTAAAAACAATGTAAATGTTCCCTCAAAAAGGTACAACAGTGGTTTTAAGGTCCAATTGTGAACCTTAAATAAGTTTTTCCAGGTGAAAAGTTCGTATTTGTACCTTTTCATAATTGAATGTTTTAAAACAGAACAATAAAATAAAACGGGGTGTGTGGAGTCAGTACAGCTTAGAAAATATCATTTCAGGTTTATTATGGTTCAGTTATGTTCCCAGACTAAAGGTACTGAGATGTAACCTTGAGGGAACCACCCCATTGATAAGAGTGACAGTTTAGTGCCTTTATTTCTGAGAGAGTAGGTAAGAACAGAATGTACACACACTCAAGAGCACAAAGGTGAGAACAGTTCTGCGCTTTAAGAACATGTCATGAATCTGACGTAGACTTTTTCTGATGACCTTTCTCAAGAACACATTTAAGGAAAAACATAAGAAGATATTGGTAAATGAGGCCCCTTGTTTTCAAGGAGGTTCTCTTTTGCCCTCTAAGACTAGAGACTAGAGGTTAACTGGAAAACTCCACTTTGTTTGTCATCAGACTATCATGTAAGTTTGTAGAAAAGGAAAGTAGAAGCCGAAAAAATGAAAAAGAAAATGTCATCTGCATGTTATCACTCTATACGTCACCAGCAAATATGGCAAATAAAAACTGATCAGAAACAGGACAGACTACCCTTTTTTCCTCAAATTTACTCCTTGGTTTGATGACAGAAGGAAATGGTCCACCAATGTATGCTTCAGATTAATCTGTATTTCTCTGTGAAATCAGAGCTGAGACAGCGGTTTAGCACTAAATCATCCTCATTTTTAATAAGAGTTGATGCCATTTTATGACCTTTGTGATGCAGCAGTTTAGTGCATCTAGATGCTGCTCAGTTCAAGCAGAACATGTCCATGTGAGCAGTCTTTAACCCTATCAGACTGACCATCTGACTGGGGGGGATGAAATTCCATCTTAACGTAACAGAGGGCCAGATGTACCAAGCCTTTCAGGTGTGAACGGGGTGCGTTCCGCCCTTTATCTGCACAAACCTGGTGTACGAGCCTATACATGCGGTTTACGCAGCATGTGCATTTCTACACCTCATACATATGCATTTAAGGGAGGATTTTGCGAAACGTGGGAGGCTTGTGCAACAAATGGATGGAGCTATTGGACGCACAGCTGATTGCATGTTCCATTTGATGATCAAGACTCTGTAGACAGACTGACCAACTGTGTGTCAGATATTTCTCAGTGGATGTTGCAAAATTTTAAATCATGAAAAAACAGAAATACTGATCGTTGGTACAGAAAGTCAGAGAAAGCTGCTTTATGAGAAACATCTTTAGCTTCATATACCAAACCTGAAGTACGAAATCTTAGACTCTGAGCTCTGTTTTATCCCGCATGTAAACACAGTGACTAAAGTAGCTTTTTATCATTTGAGAAATATCACTAAAGTTCGGCCTTTCCTTTCTTATGCAGAGAAACTTGTTCATGCATTTGTTACAAGCAGAGTTGATCACTGTAATGATCTTCTTACTGGACTTCCTAAGAAAACAACACATCCTTTACAGCTCATACAAAATGCATCAGCATCCTAACAAAAACTGAACAGAGAGATCAGATCAGTCCCACTTTAAAAGAACTACACTGGCTGTCTGTGTCATTCATGATAGATTTTAAAGTTCTGCTACTGGTTTTTAAGGCTTTGAATGACCTTAAAGCACCGCTTACATCACAGAGCGTCTGTCTGTTTATGATCTTAGATCTGCAGATACTGACCTTCTGAACACCTTCTGTAAAATACAGAAAACATTGAGAGACCCAGTTCAGTTATTCTGCTTCTAAACTGTGGAGCTCAGTTCACCTTTTATTAGACAGTCAATCTCGGTGCTCACTTTTAAGAAGCATCTAAATATGTATCTCTGTAACT